ACAGATATCCATATCTTCTATTTTTAACTCTTTTTTTATAATCTGCTGGCCTTTCCTCTAATTATTTGAAGAATTGAATTTTGTCACATATCTGGTATTTTTTGAGTTTCTTCTATCCTTATAGAACCCTTGAAGATTTATTAAAGGTCCACCTAAAAAACATATAAGTCTAGGAGTCAAAAAATACTTAAATAGTTTTTTATATTTCGAAGCTAGATAGAAAAAAAATATTCAAGGGGAATTTCGGTGATTTTCTGAATGGAAAACTGTCAATACTCGAAATACCAAAACCGCCTCGAAGGTTCTGCAAATCCTACGGAATTCTATGTATAAAACTTCTAGCAAAATATTAATACTTCAATAAAATATTTTGAAAAACGAATTTTTAATTTTAATTTAAGGACTCAAAAGGTCTCGTTTTTTGTAGGTTGATAAAATTCAAGGGATTTAATGAGACGTTAATTTATTTATTCGAACCCATTTTGGTCATAAGTAGCAAAAAAAAAACCATCAATTCTTTGTTTATTTTATTTTCTTCTTTCCTTTGGAATTTGACTGGTTCCAAGAATCGAAAATCGTTTATTTACACTTAGGAAAACATTTCTTTAGTCGGAATTGCCGAAATCCATCACCTTAAATGTCATTCACGCCTAAAACAATAAAACTTCTAAACAAAAAGGATAACAATTCAATTTTATTTGGTATGCCATGTCCTGTCATGCTTTGAAAATAGGCTCATTTTCCCCCCATTCCATCACTTCCGAAAGCTGGGAAAATTTCTCGATTTTCCTTAAAGATAAAACCTCCGATAACACAACAAAATCTTTTAACTAGATTTTGTTTTATTGGAATTTCAAAGTACTTTTGTTTCAACGTTCTTCCAAACGAAATAGAAAAAGAAAGGCAAAAAAGGACAACGCAAATATCAAAAGTAACCCAATCGATGATGATGATGACGACGACGATGGAGATGAAGATGATGCTGATGATGAATGAAAAACGTTTACAACGGATTTGTTTTATTTTTCTGTCATTGTTAGTTTTGTTTTTTTGTTTTTCTTGTTGGCCATACATTGTCAAAGCAATGGAGTAAAAATATGCCAGGCTATTGTTTTTTTCATGTTTTTTTTTTCTTCGTCCTCTTTTTCTGTTATTTTTTTCGCTTCATTTTTTTACTATTGTTATTAGGCCTGAGGCTAAAACCTTTGTCATTTGTTTTGCTCTTTTGAGCTTTTAATCCTTTTTATGTGTTGCAGTGTCAATGTATTGAATACCGTTGTTTTTTTTTCTCTCTCTCTCTCAAATCTGAGAGGGCGTACAATGTAAAGCAACAGCAAAAACAACAAAAATGGCTGACACTGTAGTTTTGTTTGCTTGAATCTCTGCCCCGGATATATCACCGACTTGACAATGTGATAGTTGGCAATTTATGCTGTTGTAAATCTCTTGTGGCTCAGCCCAAAAATTAACATCTGTCACAGCGGCTGGATTAAGGTTGTTGTGTTCGAATGTGAATATTATTGCGTGTGATGTGAAGGGATTGGAGTTTTTTTTTTTATTTGCAATACAACATGTCATATAGGGAGAGAGAGAGAGAGAGGAATGCAAAAAAGCGGTAAATGATGAGAAAACAATTATAAGGAGAACAAGGGAAATATTGCAAAGCCTAGCCAGAGTTGGACATTAATGGTTAAATCTTAGGTTTGAAACTAATTCTTCATAATTTGAGGAAAAATACTAAATATGTGTGAGATTAATCCTTTACCTTATATTGCCTTCGGGAATGCACATTATATTTTCGGTTTAGATCTCGGAAACTTCAAATAAAGTTATAAAAGGCATACCGTAAATATACCTTCAACCATAAAGTGGGGAATATAGCAGCAACATTAAAGTTGAACTTTGCACAGGTAATGATATTATTCCAAGGATATTTGATATATAAAAAGGAATATATTTCTCATTTTTTACAACCTTATCTCATGTGCAAAAATGTGCGAATTCGGCCATCTCCTTTTGACCAACATTTGCAATAATCATAACACTCAAAATATGCCAACTTGGTCCATCGGAACATTTTCCCTAGATTAGACCAAATGTGGAAATATAACGATTCAACCTTTCGGGGGACCCAACCAGATTTTCAAATATCCTAGAAAATAACCAAAATTTGCCATTTTGGAAGGGAATATGGCCACTGCAGAGGCCATGTCTGGCTGCACTCAGCCATATGTTTAGCCATATGCCATATGTTTAGCCATATGGCGTCGAAATAAAGGTTTTAAGACCCTTGATCCCTTTGAATCAAATCCCTTTCAGGACATTTGGAGTCGATCAAATGGTTCCGTCCGTCTGTCTAGCGGGGTGGTACATATGATAACTCTCGAAGGGAGATCCGATTTGATCCAAACATGGTACATTGTAATATAATTATCAAATTTAGATCGAGTTCGGAGATAGTCAATATCTGGTACCTCCCCCACAAAATGTCAAATTCGAGAATTGAACGTAAAGGAGGTGCCGCTTGGATTCATGTAGGTGGTTTCGGAAATGTGTACTATAATTGTACGAAATGTTTTAAATTGTACTAAATTTGGTATTGGATAAAGGGATAGAGCCAAAATCCTCAAGATTGATACTGAGCTCTCTGTTGGTATCTGAATTTGAGATATGGAAGAGGTTGTGGGAATGTGTGCTATAATTGTACGAAAAGTACTAAATGGTACTGAATTTGTTGTTAGTTGCAGGAATAGAGCTGCCTCGGCTAGTATCTGGAATTGAGATATGGAGGTTGTTTTGGAAATGTGTACTACAATTATTCGAAAATATACAAATGTTACTAAATTTGGTATATTTGGCATTTTGTGAAAGGATGGATCTTGAATCCTGAAATTTGATATTGAGGTCACTGTTGGTGTCAAGGGTTTTCATGTGGAGATGTTGAAATAGTTTTGGACAAAAAAATTGGATGTGGGTCCATTCTGTAATGGTTTTACTTATAGCCTCCTCGATAAAATTCAAAATAAATGATTTTGAAGACTTTTTGTTGTGAAAATTAAACAATCTCCTATTGTTCTTTCCGATAAAGAAAAACTTGTATAATATGTAAAACTTTGAAAGTCTGAAAATTTAGTACAATGTATGCAGTTTTGATTCAAAAAATTTGTCAATCTGAACATATTGTGCGTTTTGAGTACTAAAACAAACTTTTGGAACGAATCTAAAAGCGGGCAATTGCTAGTCTTATAAAAAGTGAATGAAATAGCCAATATGGTCCAAATTCAAATATCAGACTTATGTCAGGTACGAAATTGACAATGTTGGTCCACATCCTAAATAGTTCCAAAAAATCATGGCTCAAAACAATATATTTAAATAAACGAATCAATGCCAATTGAAATCGGTCAGCAAAACCCAATTATATTTTTTATTTTTTCAAATATAACTAATTTTTTAATAGAAACATAGCCGAACTTCTTTTGCAACTTTCCCTCACAAAACTAAAATTATTTTTCAAGGATGTTGATTTTTAAAAAAATACTATTAAAGGACTTCTCAAATATAAAAATTTTGGATTTTCAAAATTATTTCCATGGACTTTTAAAAATATTTTTCAAGGGCTTTTCGGCCGGATTCTTAAGAATTATTTCTTCTTCTTCTTTTCTTTTTTGAAGTATTTAAAAATATTTTTCAAGGATTGCTCATGGATTTAGTAAAAATATTCTTAAGGACTTCTCATATATATCGCTGTTAAAGTAAAAAGAAGCGAAGAACCACTGTCAGAATCAAAAAACAATGACTTAGGTGGACCATACATCATTCCTAGTCACCCCCGCCTCCTCCATCAAGTGCTATTTTAAAACAAAGAAAACATTCAAACCTCTTGAACCAAAAAAGAAAACTAAACTGAATATCTTATTCTCCTTCGAAACGCATTGAATTGCAAATGGCTTTGAAGGTTAGGTCAACGTTTATTCCAAAAATAACAACAAAACTTGTTAAAGGATTCCTTTTGTTTTAGAAATCCTTAAATACAATACCAAAAAAAAAAAAAAAAAAAAAACGCTCACATTTTTTTGAAACAAATAGACAATGGCAGCAGTCAACGGAAAATAGATGAATAAACGACCACAATATGGTTGGCAAGTGTTAAGATGCGGGTATAAGTGAAAAAACCAGAAAAAAATACGGAAAGGAATTGAATTTTGTATTGAAATACAATACTTGGCTTAGGGAAACTTAAGGGGCGTTTCCTAGACTTTGCTGGGCTAATGTCAGTCAGCCAGTCACTCAGTTATAGAGCTTCTTTTGACTTTGAAACCGAAAAGATATTGAAGGTTTTTGCTTTGCTTTTCTTAAGAATTCCTTGTTATCCCTTTTGAAGTTTACCAAGGAGTTTTGGTTTCTGGTTCTTTCAACGTCAAGGAAATAATAATATAATATTTTCTTCTTCTTTTTTGCATATGTTCTCCACTTTCATAGGTATCCCGATGGTTGGTTGATATTTCTTGTGTTTCTCTATTTGCAATGTTTTTTTTTCTTCCATAACATATTGACATTGTGAGCGACATATGCTGCAAAGCTGGCAAAATTTGCTGCAGCCTTAACCATAATGCTACTTTGACTTTTCGTGCCAGTGAATGGAATGGTCCTTCGGTCATATCCTTTGACTTGTCTGGCTTTTACCCCTCCTCCCCCTTTCGTAGTTGTTGTTCAATATTTTCTTGGCTTTCCGCTTGTAAGGGATTTCATTGAAAGGAATCCTTTGAAATGCGGTTGTTGCAGATTTTTGTTAGAATTCCAGTTTTTTCTCGCATTTTTGTGGTTCTTTTTTCTCTCTAGCCATCAAAAGTTATTCTTCAACGACGAAACGAAAAAAAGCCAGTTATGTAAACGTGATGTTGTAAAACTTTTGCTTGTTGTTGCTCTTTTTATAAACCATAAATTCTAGTTATATTTATTTACCTAATGTTGTTTTTGTTTTTCTCCTCTATTTCCAGTGCCAAGTAAACCACAAAATCTCACCGTCCTCGATGTAACGGCGACCAGCATAACCATGTCTTGGCATCCGCCAAAAAATCAAAATGGCGCAATTGCCGGCTATCATGTCTATCACATACACGAGAATCAAACGGGTGTGGAAATTGTTAAGCGCAGTGCTGCCGATTCGGCCATACGCTTTGAGCTGCCAAAATTAAGTAAGTATTGAGACATTAATATTGGAATTTTTGGGTTTTGGGGAATGATATTCAAAAGTAAAAATGACTGACTGACATTTCGAGTCTGCTTAGCGTTTTTCATGCTAAAAATCAAAACAAAAGTTCTCTGTCAAATCTTTTGAAGAAACAAGGCCAAAACCTAACCATACAAAGGCCTTAAAAAGTTTGACCTAAGAAGTCGAAACTCTTTTGAGGTTTTTATCTACAAACCGAGTATTCTTAAATAAAACTGTCATTTTTATACCCTCAGCCATATGACTAGAGAGGCTATATATCATTTGATACGGTCAAAACGTCGAAATAACGGTTTTAGACCCTAGGTCTCTTTGGACCAAATTCGTTTTAGGACATTTGGAGTCAATCTAGCGATGTCCGTCCGTCCGTCAATCTGTCTGTCTATCTCATACGATACTCTCCAAGGGAGTATCCGATATGGTCCAAACTCGGTACATCGTAATATTATTATCAAACTTAGATCGAGTTCCTCCATCCTAATATTTGCATCAGTGCTAGGTCAGGTGCGAAAATGGACAATATCGGCCCACTCCATAAAGGGTCAAAATTTTGAATAGTTATTACTCTTATAAAATGTGATGTAAGTGTCCGATTGTCTTCAAATTTCACGCATCACAATATTTTTATTAACCCAAGGTCTGGTGTGAAGATGGAATATGTCGGTCCACAACTTCGGTACCTCCCCCTCAAAGTTCAAAAATTTGAATATTCAAGAAGCTCATAAAACACGAAATTAACATTCCATTCCATCAACACAAGATTTGTTATAAAGATGTTAGAGATCCCCTACAAAGGGTTAAAACTTTGAATAACGAAAACGATCATAAAATCCAAAATAAGCATTCGGTTATCTTCATATTTCACACATCCCATTATTTTTACTAACACAAGATCTGCAGCGAAGATCGCATTGGCCGAAAAATGGCTCGTGAGCTGAACATATTGCAATATTCCATTCGGCAAATATTGAAAATGAGCTCAGGGTACAGCCATTAAAATTCCAAAAGAAACAGAAAGAAAATAGCCTCAGCAAGGTTGGGACTAAAAAATACCAAAGTGTCGGTCACCTCAAGCAAGCGCTTCGCCGGGAATGGACCAAAATACCGCAGAGCAATATTCGGGCCGCGTGTGACGGTTTCATTGGCCGTAATTCGTGCCAAAGGCGACCAATTCGAACAAATCTAAACTTATTTTAAAATTTGATGCTATTTCCGACATTTTTTGTTTTCATTCAATAAAATTTCTAAAAAAGTTTAAAAATTATGTCGTCTGACTTTGTTGCAGTTCTTTTATATTACAATTTCAATTATTTAGGTTAAGTTTTTAAATGCATAACTTCTTTGTTCATCATCCAACATGCAACTCCCAAAAAAAAACCATGGAATACCCCATAACAACCATTTTCCCCTGGTTCACATAATTGTTATGCGAACTTTTCCTTTTAAATATTATTTATTGAATTTCCATTTTTTACGATGTTCATAATGGACTTTCATTAACATTATAAGAAGACTCCCTATTGTATTATTATGCGCTGGAAAAAAATCCACAGGCTTATGTTTAAAAGCGAAAACGCTCATTGACAAGGAACGACAATGAAAGGCCATTCCCACAGCAAGACTTAAAAGTTTACTCTATTGTCATAATAATCTCATTTGTTTAATTATTTTATGACAAGACATTTCGTGGCGATTGCAGGACATTGTTTTATATTTTTTTTGTTGGGATATCGGCGGAAAGGGAAAATATTAGGGTGGCCAGATGAGAAAATGCAATTCCCCTGACTATCAAAACAAAGATAAAAATCTTTTTCCAAAATCAAAAGTATTTTTAAAAAACTCAAAATTTTATGAAAAAAAATTTATATACAAGCGAAAAATGCATAATTTCTATAAAAAAAAATATCTGGCCTCCCTAATTTAAATTGTTGCTCGATTTTCTCACCATTCCAACACCACCACCCCACCGCCAATAAAACTGTTCACTGTTGTGGTCTCCTTGGTGTATTATCCTTTCACATTTCATTACAATCACATTAAACGTTATTAATTCGGACCAAAGTATTTTTACTGTCACTACCCATTGTGGCCAATTGTTGTCAAAATGCAACAGCAACAACAAAAACCATGCAAATAATGTACATACAATGTGAAAGCTTTTTACTCTCAATGCACTCTCACTGTAGGTCGTATTGTTGGCGTGGTTGTTGTTGTCTTTGTTATATACATAAATGGACATGCATAATAATGGACAACAATGGCTTTATTCGATATTTGGTGTCGGGGGTGGTGGTGGTAATGGAGAAATATTTCCATCTACCGATGACAATGTCACTGATGCCACCGCCACCAGCCAACTGTCATTGACTGGATATCCTGTCTGCTTTTGTGTTGCATAATTTCCATAGAAAAATCCCGGTATTCGCGAATGACTCCCGCCCAACTCCTCACATCACCTCCCTCACCCCATGCCCCACCACAGTGTGACATTGCATGGCCACTGGTTTTGTACTCCTGGCCGAATTGTCGCAAAGAATTTCTGTGCAATTATTAAGCTAAACAAGCGACGAGGCAAAATACAACCCTGCGAGTATTAAAACAACACCAACTACAACAACGCTAACAAGGACATTGGCCAGAATATTGTTGGTCTCCTGGTTATGGTCACTGCCTCTGTCATGTTGAGCTGGCGGGCAAACTACTAAGGATGGTTGTGTTGGTGGTGGTCATATACAATGACGCTGTTGTCCACAACACCTCACCCCACCCCAGCCCACCCTCCTCCTCTTGGCTTCGTTGGCAATGCAATAATTATTAAATATGAAAATTTAATGTTAATTAATACTCTTAGCTGATTAACATAAAAATACATATGGAAAATTGAGTCAACAGAGTGGAAATTACAAAAGCTAACATGGTCAGCACACATTGGTGTTGTAGCTGTAGCTGTAATATGGCCACTAACCCAAGCCACCATTGCTGAATTGGTTCGGAACTTATTTGGAAGCGCAGTAATGTGCAAACATTTTACATAATGAGAAATAGTGTAATGCCAAAAAGGCACAGAAACTGAACAAACAATGGAAAAAAAAGAATGAAGCGCGAGAAAAAATAAACTCCAAAAGCTGATTATATAGTCAACGAGACTTTAGAATATCAGCCGAGCCAACTGGGGAATATTTAATGAGCAGCGGTTGTGGGGCGGAGAGAGAGAGAACGAGCAATTTACAAATATTGGAACATATTTGGGGGTAGAGATTTACTTTTTTTTGGTGATTGGTTAATAAATGGAAGTAACTCTGTAGAGGACAAATATTAAACAAGAACCAGTAAGGAAGGACAAAAGTCGGGCGGGGCTGAATATATGAAACCCTATACCTATGCATATTTAGCAGAAAGAAAAAAATGATATTTTTAGTGAAGAGAATCATACCAACTACGATATTTATTGAATGTATATTACAGCTTGAAATCAGATGGAACTAATATATAGAAGCTATATTTTCATCTAAATCGATTTCCATTGAATTTGACATAGGTATTTTTTCTGCATTCCTATGTGGTCTCTCACCAAATATCATTGCTATAAAGTTCATATACTGACTTTGAAAAGCCTTAAATATGAAATAGGCTCCTATGAATCGATTTATTTCCAACATGAGAGACTCTATTCTAGTCAAATTCAAACTAATTGGACAAAATTATAATGTGGAATGAATGAAGAATGTATGTATGGTAGCTATATTTAAACCAGCATAGTCCTTATATAAAGATTCCCCCTTATTGATGATTTTAGCGAAATTATTCACCAAAATTGTTTCAAATTTGGTATTTGAAATTGGAAATGGATGCTACAGCCTAAGACAGAAAATTGTTTGTGCTGGTCTATGTCTTCGTATAGCCCACATATAACGGTACCTCCCGATATTCGGTATTTTTTTTTAAGTTTCGCATTTGAATATTGTAATGGCTTATGACAAAAGTTACCTATGCAGGTCCATGTCATCGTATAGACCCTAATGTAACAGCTACATTTGGTATTTTTAAGGTTTTAACAGAATTTTTAACGGATTTTATTGTTTTTGAGAATTGTCAAATTCTTTCCAAATGGTGGAGGGTATTCAAAATTCGGTCTTGGCGAACTTACAGCTTTTTTACTTGTTTTTTGTTATTTCGGGGGTCTTGGCCATATTTTCTAAACGATTTGTCTTAAAATCTCAATTTTGGTTTCTTCGGGGAAGAAAACTTTTCGACTGAACCTATAAGGGCCTCCACAAAAATTAACGACTATTCTGGGAGTTGAAAACCCTTTTGGATTTTTGCTTTTGCTGACCTAAATGTTTGAAACGACAACTTGGGATTTCTCGAAATATATACAAGTTGAGATGGAAAAAACTGCAACTAACTTCATACTGCTGTCATTTCTAAGCCACTCGTCCGACAGCAGTTAAAATTATTCCAGTGACAGCTGATTACATTGTTTACATGCATACAAAAGCATATTGGTGAGAATTTTCCAGAAAAAAAGTTATTCGTAATTTAAGCGTGATAGTGTGATTTCTTTATATTTGGCTGGAAAACCACAAGTGGCTATCGTTAGAGCACTGCAGCATTTAAATGTGAATAAATCTTTTGTGACTCTTACCATCGCTCGTTACCGTGATATTGGTAGCGTAGCCCGACGTCAAGGAAGTGGACGGAAGAAAACAGCAACATCAGCAGAAATGATTCGAAAAGTAAAGAAGCGACTAGATCGAAACCCGCGTCGCAGTGGCCGAAAAATGGCTCCTGAGCCGAACATATCGTAATATTCCATTCGACAAACATTGAAAAATGAGCTCGGGCTAAAGCCATTAAAATTCCAAAAAGTGCAAAAACTTACACCGCAACAGAAAGAAAATAGACTCAAAAGAGCTAAAAAGTTGCTTCACTTGGCCGAAAGTGGTGAACTGCCGAATTTGGTTTATTCCGATGAGGAAACATTCGTTGTCCAGCAGTTTGTAAACAACCAAAATGATCGTGTTGACTTGCCAAAGAGGTCAGCTGAGAATGTGCAGCTTCGGTTGGCCAACAGAAATCAAGCGCCGGCCATGGGGATAGTGTGGGCCACCATAACAGCCGATGAACGCTCTCCGATCGTGTTAATCGACCGAGGCGTCAGAATAAATGCCGAATATTCTGGAGGGTGTATTAAAGCCTTGGGCACACATTCCAACAGGACTCAGCACCATCGCCCTCAGAACCAAAGAATGGTTACAAAATGAGGTTCCTCGCTTCATTTCTAGCGCACAGTGACCACCAAAATGTGCCAAACAACGCAGAGCAACATTCGGACAGCGTGAGACGGTTTCATTGGCCATTTGAAGGCCATAATTCGTGCCAAAGGTAACCAATTCGAACAAATCTAAACTTATTCTAAAATTTGAAGCTATTTCCCACATTTTTTGCTTTCAGTCGATAAAATTCAAAAAAAAAAAAAAAATAAAAATTATGGCGTTTGACTTTGTTGCAGTTTTTTTTATCTCACCCTGTATTTTAAAAATTGGATCCTTTGTGGTGAAGGTACTAGAAGGAGTGGGCGGATATATCCCATCTTCACAGAAGAACTTGTGTTAGTACAAGTAATGGGATGAGCGAAATCTGAAGTAAACCGGATGCTTATTTCGGATTTTACGATCGTTTTGGTTATTCATAATTCAGGAATGGTCCGATATCTACCATCTTTGTAACAGGCCTCGTGTTGATAGAAATATGGAGATGTACCAAGTCTGATAAGAGTTTAAATCATTCAAAATGTTGATCCTCTGTGGGGGAGGTACTTGATGGAGTGGTCCGATCTTGTCCATTTTCGCACCTGACCTAGCACTAATGCAAATATTAGGATTTGCAAAGTTAGAGCAAAATCAGATTATCCCTTATCTTTCTGTGCAGTAAATTATTGTCATTTAAAATGTTGACATTTTATTGGGAAGGTACCAGAAGGAGTGGACCGATATTGCCCATCTCCGAATTATAGAATTTATAAATTTATTAAATTTATTTATTTTTTTATTAAATTTCCTAAAAAATGCCAAAAAATTTCTTTTTTCGAATTAATGACCATATTTTTTTATTTTCGAGGGGTTCCAATATTTTGGTGACATCGAGGCTAGAAATCCCTTTTGATATAAGTATATATTTCGAAATTGACACTTTACAACAGGAAATCCCAAGTTCTCGTACCGATCACTTGCTTAGGGATTAACATTTTCGATCAAAATAATCCTTGTATTGTTACCATGTATTGCAGAAGATACTATATACCTAAAATGTAAGGTAAGGATTCCAAAGGATCTTTAGCAGAAATTTACAAAAAAAAATGGAAGAGGGGGAACTTGTTCCCTTAAGGATTCTTTGCAATGTTAACTGTTAAAACGCCGATACACGTGACTTTCATTTTAAGGTCTTCTGTAATAATCTTACTCTCGATTAGCTTTCACAATGGTGCCGATGTTAACTCGATAAAATTGTCCTTATGCGAGAAGAGGACAAACAAAATTTTTTGGAATCTATTAAATTGTACCACTTGTTTTTTTTAATACTTTTTACTTTTTCTTTATTAATCAATTTCCTCCCACTCTTCTTCTTTTGCAGAACCCTTCACCGAGTATCGCATCAAAGTGAATGCTTTCACTACCAAGAACGAAGGTGAATCTTCGGACATAATTGTTCAGCGCACCGATGTCGGAGTGCCAAGTGCTCCAATTATTGTCAATTTGACATGTCACTCGCAGGACTCATTAACGATACGCTGGAAACGTCCGTTGGAATTTTACAATAATATTGACTTCTACATAATTAAAACGAAAATTATGGGTCAGGATACGCATCGTGACATACGGATAAATGCATCTGCCAAGGAATTGGAAACGGCGGTGAGTGTATTTTTGGAATTAAGTGTTTTTTTAATTGTGTGTGTTTCATTTGAAATATGAAAATGAGTTCTTATTGTTTTAATGTTTAAATAAATTGCAACGTTTATTTATTTTCTTTTTTCGATGATGGGTTCGATTGAGTCCTTAAAACACATTTTTAAATTCACACACAATAAATTTTCTGAATAATTGTCAATCATAAATAAATCGAAAATAGACTTTGATTTAGTCGATTCCAAATTGTTAAAAAATCTTTCATGAAAATGTAATGGGGTCCATGATCTGATCAAAACTCGAATGAAATTAAAAGATTGAATATATCAGGCTACTAATTCTGCCACCTTCCCACAAATCCCCGTTGGTAAGACTAGGTATTGCTTTCTAATTTGCTATATTTTCTCAGTTTTTCGTTCTTTTATTGTTTATTTATAAATGTAGAAGCAATTTTGAAACTTCGCAACATTCTCAGCTACAGTCGATGAATGAATTGAGAATTTTTCCCTTTTTTACTTTCAACCTCTTTTAATACCCTCAGCCATATGGTTACACAGAGTATATATCATTTAATACGACCATAAACGTGCATCGAAATATCGGTATTAAACCCTAGGTAATTTTGGGCCAAATCCGTTTCAGGACATTTGGAGTCGATCTAGCGATATCCGTCCGCCCGTGCATCTGGCTAGTGCGCATGATAACTCTCGAAGGTAGTATCCGATTTGATCCAAACTAGGTACATCGTAATATTATTGTCCAACTTAGATCGACTTCGTAGATGGGCAATATCGGTCCACTCCTTGTGGTACCTCCCCACAAAAGATCGAAATTTTCAAAAAAAATAAATTGCAGCACAGAAAGTGAAAGGATAATCCGATTTTGCTCCAACTTTGCAAATCCTAATATTTGCATTAGGTCTATGTCAAGTGCGAAAATGTCCAATATCGATCCACTCCTTCAAGTACCTCCCCCACGAAGGGTCAAAATGTTGAATATTTATAACTCTTATAAAATGTGATGAAAGAGTCCGATTGCCTTCAAATTAAGCATATCACAATATTTTTATTAACTCATGATCTGGTGTAACGATGGAATATATTGGTCCACTCCATCTGATACCTCCCCCACAAAGAGGCAAAATTTTAATACCCTTAAAGCGTATAAAACGCGAATTCATCATCCGATTCCATTCAAACTTAGTACATCTCAATATTTCTATCAACACAATATCTGTTATAAATATGGTAGAGATCGGACCATTTCTTCTAGTACCTCCAACACGTAAGGATCAGGATTTTGAAAAACTGAACGCTTAAAGAAAGCGAAATAAGCATCCAACTCTCTTTAAATTTCACACACACACACAATAATTTTTAATATAACAAGATATGTTGTGCAGATCATATAAATCTGCGAACCACTTCTAGTACCTCACCCACAAAGGTGACTATTTTGAATATTTATATCTGTCATAACTTGCGAAACATGTCGGCGGCTAGAAATCTGATATGAATATGTGATTTAACAAAATTTATAATTTCGCTTAGAATTGGATATAAATGTTCGATTTCCTTCAAATTTTGCCCATATCTATAATTTTATCTGTATTAGATGAAGTAGAAAATGGAATACTTCATTCCACTAGGTAACAGCCACTCATATATCCACATTTTCCAAATAATTGCTCTTATCTCATATAAAGTATAGGAAGTAGTCGATATAGTTCAAATCTGGCACGTTTTACTATTTATATCAGTTTTAGGTCAGATACGAATTGGTCAATATTGGCCAACTGCTTTGGAACCTCCCCCAAAAAGGGTAAACAGTTTGAATAATGGGGGTATACATCTGTCGACAATACCGACTGATACTATTTTACTTGTTTCCATTAATTTCAAAAAAGTTTCAAATATTTTTTATTTGTAATCTTTTGTAATAAAATAAAATGTTCATCAATCAATTTATACTCCCACGTCTGCTGCTTTCTGATTTCTGTTTATCTTTCTCTCAGTTTATTATTGTTATTCTCTTACTGTGAATTCATACTCTTGTGAGTAATTCGGTTCGCTCCAGTTGATGAATGCATTGAGAACCTTTCACTTCTTTGTTTTTTATTGCCAACCTTTTTCAAAAACGTTCCATTGAGATGAAAAGTGATTCAAATATATATTTTTTTAATAAAATATTCATCAATTAATTTATTAAATTGATGCTGTATCAAAGTTATAACTTCAATCTGTGAAAATCCAACAACTTTTTCCCATCTATTAAAAAACGCCGAATAATGAAATCGTTACAAAACACATTTACAGCTAAGTTTTTGCTACTCGGACCATACTGGCAACGTTTAAAAAAAAAAAATAGCTAATGAAAATTGAAAACTATAAATGACCAAATAAATACAAACAAAAAATGTTCAAAGGTAAAAGTTTTATTAGCAGTATTTTTTTTTTTTTTTAATAATATCAACTTTTTACAAAGCCATCATTTTTTGCCAACACATTTATCATTTATCCACCGAAAAAATAAGAAAACAACAAAATGTAACAATTTCCCCCAACACTTCAATTAATATTTACCTTTGATGTGTGGATTCGACGCGAATGTTATATTCAAACAAACCACAGCCTTGATAATTCGTCGTCACAATTTTGATCCATAATCTGAAATTTTCTGCTGTTCACAAAACCGACACAAAATTGTTTGCAATACCGAGAATAGGTGTTAAGTTTTAGGATTTTGTTGTTAGAAAATTTCCTGTTTCCACGATAGAAATTACATATGGGAGCAGAGGAACGCAAGCAAGAGTATCCAACCCACTCCACACTACCCCCACAGGAACGGCTGTAAAGTGCATTTCTGCTGACGTGTATGTGTGCATTATAGCTTTAAAAAAATGCCAAAAACTTTGTTTATATTTCTATATTGGAATATAGTTTCCAAAAAATATTTTCATATTTTTGCCAATTTTTGGGGTTTCATCCCTCCCCATTTTTTCTCTCCCTCTCTATATTGGCAGAGGAAAAAGTTTTTAGTTACAAAAATCTAATATAGAAAATAATTTTGCTGAAAAAAACAATTGCTGGCATAGAAACTTTGTTGTTGAGTCTGCTGCATGGCAGTGGAATAAAATAGTACCTCTTACAACAAGATTGGCATACATGTTGTGAGGTGTTGCCATAAGTGTGAAAGTATTTTTAAATCTTGGTATAATAAAGAAAAGATTTTTGTACAGAAAAAAACTCACATACATAGAAAAACAACAACGGTATGGCAAAACCTAAAAGAGAGCTCGGTAAGAGTAGAATCAGCTCGATTTTGAACGAATATTGCTCCCACTCAAAAACGAGGTGAACATACTCACTCCTATGCGAGCGACATCGAAAAATTAGGTTTGCTAGATTTTTTTCTTCTCCCAGGAGCGCTTCCTCTCCAATTCGAGTGAGTTTTACTCATTGTACAAATTCGAGGGAGTTATTCGTTCCAAGAGCTCGTGTTAGGCCATTTTAGTGCTACAAATGCATATTTTTTTATTTTTGATAAATCATAACTTCATACTTCGCATTCATTTTAAAGATTTTCCAGGTTTTAGAAGTCATTATTAAAGTTTTTCATTTTTGGAAAGAATAATAGGATTATTCTTATCTTTTACACCAAAAAGTCGTTCAAAATTGTTAATTTTAAAGTTGACCGAGGAGAATGGTAGTAAAATCATTGCAGAATGGACCCACATCCATTTTTTTGTCCAAGAATATTTCAACGTCTCCATATGTAAACCCAAAAAACCAACAACAGCTGTATCCTAAGACCAAGTCACAAATGCATTACCATTCTTTTTATACAATTACTTATTAAAAACCACCCTAGGCACCAACAGTGGGCTCGATAGCAAATTCCAGAATTCCATCTCTATCCCAACACCCAACGGCACCTCCTTTTCTCAACCACAGACACCAATCAAATTTCAGGTTGTCTGCTCTCTCCCTTTACCCAATAGCGAAATAGTACCAGATTGTACTTTTCGTACAATATGTACTACTTCCAAAACCACCTTCATATCTCAATACCAGATATCAACAGAGACCTCAGTGTCAAAGTTGAGTATAACAGCACAATTTATTCACCCAAGACAAAATTTAGTACCACTTTGTATTTTGGGAACAAATATAGAATGCATTTTAAAATGCCGCTAAATCTCAAACACAGACACCATCAGTGATCCTAAAATCAAATATCAGATTTTTATCTCTATCGCTTCACCCAATACCAACTATAGTACCATTTAGAACTTTTCGTACAATTAGACTTTGCAAATGTGTTCTGCAAAGTCTCCTCCATATCCCAATTCCAGATACCGATAAAAACCTCAATATCAAATTTGAGGATTGCAGCTCTATCCCTTTACCCAATACCAAATGCAATATCATTTAGTACTATTCGTAATAATTAATATTAAATTAATATTAAATTTTAGGATTCCAGCTCACACATATCCCAATTGTACCAAATTTAGTACCCATAAGTACGCATTTCCAAAACTTCCTACATATCCCAATCCTATTCCAAATGTCAAAAACTACATAAATACCTCAATCATACAGTTTCAGGTTCACCACAATTCCAATTTGCACCAAATTTAATTTAGTACACATAAGTACGAATTTTCAAAATTACCCACATACTACAGTCCTAAAATTCAATAGTAATCTCATTTCTTAATTTAAGAATTCCAGCTCTATCGGTTCACCCAAATCGAAAATGTACCAAATTTAATACCATTTAGTACTTTTCGTGCACACGAGTACAAAATTTCGAAAACCTCCTCCATATCCCAATCCTACACTCCGCTAGTGATGTTAATTTGAATTTTCAGTATTCCAGATCCATCCGTTCCTCCAAATTCAAATTGTACTTAATTTAGTACCGTTTAGTACTTTTCGTATACATAAGTATACACTTCCAAAACTACCTCCTTACATCGACTCTACTCCTCAAGCTTGATTGCCATTCCAAATTTCAAGCTCTAACTTCGTTCATATTATACGAAATGGTACCAAATGTAGTACATTTTAGTACGTTATATAGCGCGAATTTCCAAAATCCCTTTGGTACATCCAGCACTCACCGTTATTCCAAATTAAAGAGTTCTAGCTCTACTGGTTCGTCCTAGTACTTTTCGTATACCGTTATAGTGAAAATTTCCAAAACGTAGTCTTATCTGACCCTTTCGGACCAAGGGGGACCCTCACCCAAAGTTTCGAGATTTAAGCTTCAGCCGTTTCGTCTGGTCTATTACTTTACTCCTTTATTAATATAGATAAGATTCTTTGATTCGCGTCATTATGGAACCCAATGGCCCTTATACGACCATGAGACTTTACATTTATCCCAATTCATTCAATTTACAAATTGTAAAATTTTTACCATTCAATTCCAAATCGATTTCCGCTAAACAACTCTTCTCATACAAGAAAAGCTCTTCACATTCTATTTTTTTTTTTTTTTTTTGAAAATTTGAAATCACGACCAAATGTATTTAAAATAATAAAACACATATGCATATAGAAATGAGTGTTTGTGTGTGTGTAACGCGAATCGCAATGCTCTCAAATTAATCAGAGCATTTTTGGCAACATGAATATGCATGAATCGGCAAAGAATATGAATCGGCGGAGATACAGATATGCACATATTGATGTGTGTATGCCGATTCCATAAAAATATATAAAAAATACATAAACACACACACACACGGACACACACCCAAATCCCATACATATTTGATATATTGTTGACGTTTACAAACGTCAATGTGCACACATAAACATTTTTCCGTTCGACTGTGAAAACATTTAAAAGCCTGCGATATAAAGTTTATCCTTTCCGGAATGGAAAAATATAACTGATGACTGTGAAGGCAACAACGGCAACAACAACACAAAAACCAACAAAGCATCAAAATCATAATCAAAGTTTGTTTTCGATCGTTAGCACATATTCAAATAAAATTTGATGCAATATTTGTTGGTATTGAAATAAAATAAAAACAAACACATCGACACACAGAATCCCTCACTCACACACACACACATGCACAGAAATGTAAAATCCCTGCAGCGAGCAGCTTTAGTAAAATTGTAGTGTTTTACTGGTGACATTGTCGCTAGTACTAGTGAAAAAGTATACCACAACCAATGTAATTTCCTATGGACATTTAACATAGGCTTGTCATAGGAGAAGTACCAGTAGACCTTGACTATATTGACTAAGTAGTTCTTTTGGGACTATATGGTGACATTTGAACCAAATAGTCACTAGAAAAAGATTATATCTTTTGAGATTATGTGATGACGTGTATACCAAATAATCACTACATTATATTGGGTTTCCTGAGCTATATGTAGACATTTGAACCAAATAATCACTAGAAAAAGATTAGATCTTTTAAGTTTATATGGTGACGTTTGAACCAAATAATCACTGCATTTTATTGGGTATCCTGAGCTATATGTAGACATTTGAACCAAATAAACACTAGAAGACCATTAGTCCTTTCGAGATCATATGGAGGCATTCGAACCAAATAGTCATTTGAGATTTTTAGGAAAATGCTTGTAATAGAATAAGTATTTAACAACGTTACATTTTTAACGCAGTTATTAAGTAACAAAAACAAAAGTAAAGCACAGTTCAATCTACACACAATATATTTAATTAATCTAAAACAGTCTGCGCGTTGTTTCGATGCGATCTACAAAAAAATTACATAAAAATGTGTATATATTCAATATGTTTTAATGACAATAAAAGAAAAGCCAACTGTCGACATTGTCAGTAGAAATACACTACAATCAGTGTCCCAAACCAAACTCTACTCGTAAATTGTTGAAATTTGAACTAGTACAATTGTCTGTAGAAATAAAGTGGTAATATAAGATACATGGTTCTTTGCTCGCAGCAGGGATAAAACCCTTCATATATTTGTATGTGTTTTTTTATTGGGGAAACAAATTCTGTGTACTGTTGCAAACATTTAAATATTTTTCGTTTTTTCTGCTTCTTTATTTCTTGTTTTCAATACAAATATGAAACAAAGTAACCGGAAATTTATGTAATATTCATGATATGTTTCCGTTTCATATATTTATTCTAAATAATAGTTTTTGATTTGAATCTTATTTCTTGTTTTGCTAATATCTTTCCAGATGATTATACAAAATCTTACCATGTACCAGCTGTACGAAGTTAAAGTTGCCGCAGCCACCTACAGCGTGATTGTACCAAAGAAAATTATTTTGGGCAAATTTTCGGAAGGACGTAAGGTAAGGGAAATTGCTATTTTTTTGTTTCAAAAGAAAAAATATATATTTGTTTGTTGAAAACAATACATATACAAAACTATTTGTGTAGAGAATGGAGATAAATTTAAAAGGTTATGTTTCTGTATGTCAAGATAAAAATGAATGCCAAGATGTTTTCCAATTTTTTGATTAAAGCCAAAAATCAAATTTTTGAACAACTCATTTTGAATGGACCTTAATGTCCTTACATTACAATACGTCTATGAAGACTCAATTTAATATAGGAAAATATCGTTTTGCTATTTCGAATAAAAAAAAAGAAATTAATTTTGAAAAGTTTTGAAAAAAAAACTAAATTTGAATATATAAATATTTTTATGAGGTTTTGAAAACCATCTCGAAACCGGTACGACTCGCGGAGTTGGATTCATAATATAAATTTTATGTTGGAGAAAGGTATTTGAAGTCATTATATTTTTAATATCTTGAAATAAGCATTTTAGACACCACAACGTCTATTCAGGGTGGGATGAAAAAATTGCAATCAAATTCAGACTGCGGTCATTTCTAAGCCACTCGTCCGACAGCTGTTAAAATTATTCCAGTGACAGCTCATTATATTGTTTACAAGCGTACAAAATAATTTTGATGAGAATTTTCCTGCAAAAAAAAAATTATTCGTGATGGAATTCAAGCGTGATAGTGTGATTTCTTTATATTTGGCTGGAAAAGTAAGCGGGGCTATCGTTAGAACACTCCAGCATTAAATGAGAACTGAACATATCGGAATATTCCATTCGGCAAATATTGAAAAATGAGCTCGAGGTAACGCCATTGAAATTCCAAAAAGTGCAAGAACTTACACCACAACAGAAAGAAAATATACTCAAAAGAGCTAAAGAGTTGAATTTGGTTTTCTCCGATGAGAAAAAATTCATTGTTCAGCAGTTTGTAAACAAACAAAATTATCGTGTTTACTTGGCCACCAGAACTCAGTTGGCCACCAGAACTCAAGCCCCGACCTCAAGAACTCAAGATCGACCGTGGTATCAGAATAAATGCTGAATATTATCGCGAAAATATTCTGAAGGGTGTATTAAAGCCTTAGGCACCCAAACATTTTGGCCGCAGACCTTGGACATTTCAACAGAACTCAGCACCATCGTACTCAGCACGCGCCACCCAAGAATGGTTACAAAATGAGGTTCCTCGCTTCATTTCCAGCCCACAATGGCCACCAAAATCTCCGGATACCAATCCGTTGGACTATTGTGTCTGGAATATTTTGGAAAGCAATAGTACCAAAGTGTCGATCACCTCAAGCAAGCGCTTCGACGGGAATCGGCCAAAATACCGCAGAGCAACATTCGGGCAGGGTGTGACGGTTTCATTGGCCGTTTGAAGGCCATAATTCGTGCCAAAGGTGACCAATTCTAACTAATCCAAACTTATTCTAAAATTTGATGCTATTTCCGACATTTTTAGCTTTCACTCAAAAAAATTGAAAAAAGAATTTAAAAATGATGGCGTTTTGTTATCTCAACCTGTATATGGGAGTTATACCTAAATCTGATCCAATCATCGCCAATTTTGATGGGGTTCATCCTTGGGCCAAACAATATTAAGTTTGTCATTCTGTTTGTAACTCATCGAAATAATAATTTTCTGATCAGCGTAAAATTCTAAGACGTATAGCCATATGACCGTACCCCCCGATATTCGGTATTTTGATGATTTTAAGCACGAAAACTCACACAAGGAGTTTTGAAGAGCCTTCTAGGCGTAATTTTAATATTTTTTGAAGAGCCTTCTAGACTTGAATTTTTAAAGAATATTTTTAAAAGAGCCTTCTAGACTTGAATTTTTAAAGAATATTTTTTGAAGAGCCTTCTAGACGTGGATTTTTTAAAGAATATTTTTTGAAGAGCCTTCTAGACGTGGATTTTTAAAAGAATATTTTTTGAAGAGCCTTCTAGACGTGGATTTTTTAAAGAATATTTTTTGAAGAGCCTTCTAGACGTGGATTTTTAAAAGAATGTTTTTTGAAGAGCTTTCTAGACGTGGATTTTTAAAAGAATATTTTTTGAAGAGCCTTCTAGACGTGGATTTTTAAAAGAATATTTTTTGAAGAGCCTTCTGGATTTTTTAAAGAATATTTTTAGAAGAGCCTTCTAGACGTGGATTTTTTAAAGAATATTTTTTGAAGAGCCTTCTAGACGTGGATTTTTCAAAGAATTTTTTTAAAGAGCCTTCCAGACGTGGATTTTTTAAAGAATATTTTTTAAAGAGCCTTCTGGATTTTTTAAAGAATATTTTTTGAAGAGCATTCTAGACGTGGATTTTTCAAAGAATATTTTTTAAAGAGCATTCTAGACGTGGATTTATTAAAGAATATTTTTTAAAGAGCCTTCTAGAGGTGGATTTATTAAAGAATATTTTTTTAAAAAATGTGTATTCAATATGACCAAAACATTCCACCGAATCTCTGCAAAAAATTAAGGAATTTATGTTTATGTACTTCGATATTTCTAACGGTGTATAGCTTCCCAGTTTTTTCTAGGTGTAGTTGACATTTCTACCACAAACGAAAATAAGTACGACTTGCAAGTTTATCGAACTTGAAGCTTAATTTAAACAAACATAGATGAAAGTAAATAATATTGTTTGCGGTTTCTTATTCTAAATTATTCCCACAGACATTGGCATTGGTTTCAGAAATTCTTGTAATAAATGAATGAATGGAATATAAGTTGCAATTAAAACCATGAATATGCAAAAAAATACTCTCTTGGCAGCAAGCCAATGTTATGCAACTGTCATAACTATGATAATATGGAAGGCAGTCACAACAACAATAATAACAGAAAAAACTCACCAGGAATTAAAAATGCACAGTAAATTGGCTTCCAAATCGGCATTGTAGCACTTCCGAACAAGAACAAAAAAAAACAAATTTCAAAACTATTCGCCCTTGCATTCAGAAGACATAAATATCCGCATATTAGTAAATTTACTGAAACAAAAAACAAGTTGAGAGATACGTTTTTTTTTCTCTCCATTTCACTGCTAAGTAAGAAACTTGGCAAATGTTTCTCTCTGGCATTACTGACATTTCCTGCATTGTCATGGCAAATGTCAGTAAAAACCCCTTAAGTCATTTCCTTCGACTTCTTTTTTTTCTCATCACCAGAGAGAAGAGAAATTATTTTTATCATTTTCATTTGATAGAGCTTCAGTTTTATGTGTAGTCATTCCTTGTGCCATTTTGATGGACAAGTTTTTTTTCTTTTTTTGTAATTCGTCATTTTTAGTTTCTTCAAAATGATAAGGATATGTAGACCGGAAATAAATCAACTTCATAATAGACTGAGGATATCTATTTTCTTTTCAGTTTTCTTTTGGAGGGGGTGTTTTAAAAAATTAGTGCAAATGAGTTCAAACAAAGAGGTCTAAGGAAGTCTCAGAGATAATAGGAAGAAGACATTTTCTTAAGGCTATATAGAACTTTTGAAGAGTTTGTTTGTCCCATTTAAATTACGAAAAGAAAGCTTATAACCCAAAATCAATATAAGGTTGATATAAATTCTTAAAAAAAAACTCAACAATCCTTAAGGCCAATCAAAATATACAAAAAGTAATGGAAGAATCACAAAGGTTGTGAATTTAATAGCAGAGACAAGAATTCAGGCAGGTGCATCAACGCTTGGGAATATTTAAAAAAAAATCAAAAATTTTTAAATACTTTTTTAATTTAATTTAAGTAGGTTTTTAGATGTTTTATTATACGGCGTCAATTGAAGGTTATTACAATATGAATTTTTTTTAACTATTTTTACAAATTTGAACAATTTCTTATTCAAAATTTTTAATTCTAATTGCTCTCTGGAACTAATGGAACTACATGAAACAATGGAACTTAATGTACGAGAGAGTTCCATATAGCCCGATCGTTCCTTTTGATGAATATTTCTTTTGAACTTATTTGTTGCACAACTTGACGCACTTCGACTCCTTTTTATACCTCAGTCATATGGTTAGAGGAGGGGGTAGATATCATTTGGTACGACCAAAACGGGTCTCATCGAAATAACTGTTTTAGACCCTAGGTCTCTTTGGATCAAATCTGTTTCAGGACATTTGGAGTCGATCTAGCGATGTCCGCTCGTCCGTCCATTTGTCTGTCTGGCTGACTGTTGCGCACGATAACTCTCTAAGGGAGTATCCCATTTGGTCCAAACTTGGAACATTGTAATATTATTGTGAAATCTAGATCGAGTTCGAAGACTAGCAATCTCGGTCCACTCCTTCTATTACCTCCCCGACAAAATGTCGAAATTTTCAAAGAAAATTTTTTATAGCACAGAAAGAGAAAGGATGATCCGATTTCGCTCCAACTTTGCAAATTCTAATATTTACATCAGTGCTACGTCAGGTGGGAAAATGGACAATGTCGCTCCACTTCATCAAGTACCTCACCCACAAAAGGTCAACATTTTGAATAATTATAACTCTTATAAAATGTGATGTAAGACTCCGATTAACTTCAAATTACACACATCGCAATATTTTTATCTTTCGAAGGTCTAGTGTGAAGATGGAATATATCGGTCCACTCCTTCTAGTACCTCCCACACAAAGCATCAAAATTTTGAATAACTATGAAGCTCATAAAAATCCGAACGTCCGGTTCCATTCATCCGAAATCCGACATCCGGTTCCATTCAAACTTACTACATCTCAATACTTCTATCAACACAAGATCTGTTATAAAGATGGTGGAGATCGAACCATGCCTTTTGGTACCTCTCCCACTAAGGGTAAAAGTTTTGAATAACCAAAACGATTATAAAATCCGAAATAAGCATCCGGTTCTCTTCATATTTCACACATCACACAGGTCAACATTTTGAATAATTATAACTCTTATAAAATGTGATGTAAGACTCCGATTAACTTCAAATTACACACATCGCAATATTTTTATCTTTCGAAGGTCTAGTGTGAAGATGGAATATATCGGTCCACTCCTTCTAGTACCTCCCACACAAAGCATCAAAATTTTGAATAACTATGAAGCTCATAAAAATCCGAACGTCCGGTTCCATTCATCCGAAATCCGACATCCGGTTCCATTCAAACTTACTACATCTCAATACTTCTATCAACACGAGATCTGTTATAAAGATGGTGGAGATCGAACCATGCCTTTTGGTACCTCTCCCACTAAGGGTAAAAGTTTTGAATAACCAAAACGATTATAAAATCCGAAATAAGCATCCGGTTCTCTTCATATTTCACACATCCCATTACTTATACTAACACAAGATCTGCTGTGAAGATGGGATACATCGGCGCACTCCTTTTGGTATCTCCCCCACAAAGGGTCAAAATGTTGAATAACCATGAAGCTTATAAAACGCGAAATTAACATCCGATTCCATTCAAACTTGGTATATCTCAATTTTTCCATCAACACTACATATGTTATAAAGATGGTAGAGATCGGATCATTTGTTCTGTTACATCCTACACAGAGGGTTCAAGATTTTCGACTTTTGATTCCCTTTTCCGCTGCAGAAAATATTTCTTAATAACAAACAATTTAAATAAAATAATTTTTTTAACACACCACCGCCAACACACCTTCATTTTCAAATTCATTCATTATCTGAAAAGCATTTATTGTTTTCATCATCGTTTTACGTTGTCAGTTCTTAAACATGTTACTTGGCATTTGTTGCCACCACCGCAAGGACATTGTTGTGTTGTATCCTTGTTGTCGTTTTTTTCCTCTAGGAAAAAGTAATTTGCACTCTGTCACACAATAGGACATTTGTGGCTTAACCTTAATGTTTATGGTCATTTAAAGTAGACACTTCAGTGTTTGACTTGGACTTCGCAGTTGGGGGAGAGAAAGAATTTCATTTACTACTGCCAAGGAATTTTAATATGAAAGCAAATAAATTAAAGTGAAAAATAAAAGAAGAACCAATTAAGCGAAATTAACGTGCGCAAATACATTAATATCAGCAGAGAATTACATAGAAATTTTTATTTTAATTATGAACCGATCAACTTATGAAAAAAACTCATAAAACTGTCACTCCAACTCGCCATGGATACCCAATGGGTTAAAGGGGTTTCAAATATAAAGGGACTTAAAAACTGATTTATTTCCGAGAACCAAAGAGCTTTGGGCAACTTAAGGTCTATATAAGGCATGAGGAATCCAAGAGTAGACCAATAAAGCGGGAATCCTCAAATTTAATATAAAGGTCTCTGTTAGAATCTAGAATTTAGATATGGAGGTACTTTCGGAAATGTGTACTAAAATTATACGAAAAGTTCTGAATGGTATTATATTTGGTATTGGGTGAAGGGATAGAGATAAAAATCTGATATTTGATTTTGGGATCACTAATGGTATCTGTGTTTGAAATTTAGCGGTGATTTTATTTTATGTTATCCTCAAATTTAACACAGAGGTCTCTGTTGGTATCTGGTATTGAGATATGAAGGTGGTTTTGGAAATGTGTCCCATAATTGTACGAAAAGTACTAAATACTCGTCACTCGTCCGACAGTTGTTAAAATAATTCCAGTGACAGATCATTATATTATTTACAAGTGTACAAAAGCATTTTGGTGAGAATTTTCCAGAAAAATAATTATTAACTTGCCAAAGAAGTTAGCTGACAATGTGCACCTTCGGTTGGCCACCAGAACTCAAGCGCCGGCCATGGTGATGTAGGTCGCCATAACAGCCGATGGTCGCTCTCCGCTCGTATTAATCTAGCGTGTGATGGTTTCATTGGCCTTTTGAAGGCCATAATTCATGCCAAAGGTGAACAATTCGAACAAATCTGAACTTATACTAAAATTTAATGCTATTTCCAACATTATGGCGTTTTACTTTGTTGCAGTTTTTTTTCTCACCCTGTAGTACTAAATTATGTATTGGTTGAAAGAATATAGCTGAAATCCAGAAATTTGATATGGATGTCACTGTTGGTGTCTGTAGTTGAGAGAAGGAGGTAGTTTTAGAAATGCCAGAAAATGTGCCGTTAGGTGTTGGCTTAGAAATGAAATTCAGAAATTTAATATTGAGGTCACTGGTGATTTAAGAAAAATTGGACTTGTGTCAATTGTTGAACGGTTTTACTAGCATCCTCCTTGGTTAACTTTAAAATGAAAGAAAGTCGCCAAACTCCTTGTGAAATAGGTATTTTATTATATAAAAATAATTATTGTAAAAATTAAAAAAATATATATACTAAGATTAATTCAAATCCAAAACAAATTAAGACTTAATTTTAATAAATTATTTTGATGATAAAATAAAAATTAATAACTACATCTGTCGTTTAGGGCTAAATGGATTTAATTTGTTTATAAACTCATCCAACCCTTACTAAACAACAATTTTCTCTCCCTCTCTTCAATTTTTCAATTTCAGATTGGCCTGCAGCCCAACTGTGAAAAGATACAACCTTTGTTACGTCAATCGCACAACGATTACAACTTGGCCGTTTTGGTCGGCATCATTTTCAGCTGCTTTGGCATTGTGCTGATTGTTATGGCCTTCTTCCTTTGGAGGTAAGTGGTGTTTCGTACTAAATACCGACTAAGCGTTACAATTCTTTAACAAATAATCACAAAGCAAAAACAAAAAAAACTACAACAACAACAAATACGAATAGCCGGTTATTACTAATTATAAGGATTCATTAAATCGTTATGAACAAGTAATGCTTGGAGGAAGTGTTTTCCTTTTTCCTTGCTAAATGTTTTCCACGGGCCATCCGCACAGAAAACAACCTCCTGGGCTTTGGTGTGTGTGTGTGTGCATTTATTTGTTTTTGAGGTTTTCCCTGTTTTTGACAGAATGGAACGCCCAGTTTGTCGCTGCTCCATCATTCACCACAAAAAAGGTTGTGGCTAAAATTTATGAATGTTTTAAATTTATGATTGCTTTCATTATTTTTATAAATTTCATGCCCCGTTGTTGTTCTCCTTTTTTTCTAATTTATTAGAAAAGAGTTCGTTTTTGTAGCATTTTTATTTTGCAGGAGAAAAAAAATTATACAAATTACTTCAGTTTTATTTTTAATAAATTTTATGAATGCCGCCCAGTATTTGTTGCTCCCAAATATTTACCAGACCAAAGGGGGGGCAACACTCTTTTTTGAAAGGTTGCTTTAACATTTTCTTCCATTCTTATCTCCCTGACAAGGGTCATTCAGTGGAAAAGGGGTGTTCCCCTCACCCCTCTCTCTCAAAGATGCTTTTAATTTTATTGTCCTTTTTCTCAGGTTAATTCTTTATGACAAGCCGAACGCAACCAAACCAAAAAAACGTCTTAGCCTTATTTAAATGCAAAACAATGACTTTGCCAAAAGTTTTTGTTTTTGGTTTTTTTTTTCGTCCAGCAACTTGTCATGTCCTGTAATAATGACAGTAATTTGTCTTTCCTGTAGCCTTTCATTAGGAGATTATTGATAAGCAAAATGGACACGAGAGAAAACAAAGACGCAAAAGATTAATTGTTCATATCGTTCTGGTGGTTGAAGAGGGGCAATGTGACATATTTTCCTTGTTTTTCCGATGGCGAAGAAAAATTAAGGGGTTTTCATCTAGATATGACTTGAGAAATGAATGAAAAGAACAAGTGTGGGCAGCTGGAATTTGTTTCAAATAATTTTTGGAAATTTGAAAATTCTTTTCCGGATTAAGGTTAATTCTTTAAGGTGGTTTCCACCATAGATAATTAAAAGGTATTCTATGTAATTCTAAAGTAGGGCAAAAGGGTATGCAAAGAAGGCCCTAAAATTTAAAATGCTCTAAAAACTGTAGACTGAGTCTAAAAAAAGGATCTTGGGAAAAATATCAAAAATTGCACTTTTTAGAGAATAATTCAGATATAACTCTATATATGAAGAGCTAGATTACGGCTACTTATAACCGAGCGGACGCAAGAAGCCTTCCCTACAGGACAGCGAAAGCATGAGGCCTTAGTTTTGAAAAGCAAAGCCAAGTCGTTATTATTGGCGAGAGCTTCAGCCGGACTGAAACCGGGAAGCTTTCCATGTGGGAAACTGGAAGCTTTTCCTTTAAGCGAAATGAAGCAGTGGACATTTCTCATAGGCCGAGCTGAAACAGGGAGCTTTCGTTATGAACGAGGAAAGCAGGATACATTTATCATATGGCGAACTTAAGACGTAAGCCTATTTGGCGAACTTATGCAGAGAGCTTTCATTATGTGGTGAGCTGAGGCTGAAAGCTTTCCGTATATAGCCAGCTAATGCAGGTAGGCTTCCTTATGTAGCCAGCTGCAGCAGAGAGCCTCTTGGCATGGCTTGTTGGAGCAGAGTGACATTCTATAGGTGAGCTGAGGCAGAAAGCCCTTCTAATAAGTTAGTTGAAGCAGGGAGCCTTCCTAATAGACCGAGCTGAAGCATTCATTATATGTTGAGCAGAAGAGAGAGGCTTAAGTATATGGTGAAAAGAGCCTTCCTTTTGTGACGAGCTGAAGCAGGAAGCCTTCCTTATGTGTTGACAAGTTACAACAGGGAGCCTTTTTATATGGCGTGCCTTAGCCTTCATTATATAGCCAGCTGAAGCAGATGGCCTTCCTAATATAGCCAGCCGCAGCAGAGAGCCTCCTATGGTCTGTTGTAGCAAAGTAACTTTCTGTAATGTAAGCTGAGGCAGAGAGTCCTCTCAGTGGGCTAGTTGAAGCAGGGAGCCTTCCTTATACGTGAGTTGAAGTAGGGAGCCTTGCTAATAGTCCGAGCTGAACCAGGTAGCATTCATTATATGTTGATAAGAAAAGGAGGATTCATTATATGGTGAGAAGAAACATAGAGTCTTGCTTACATGTCGAACTAAAGCAGAGACCCTTCAAGTTGAAGCAGAGATCCTTCTTTATTGGAGAGCGGAAGCAGATAACATATATGGTTATCTGGAGCAGAGAACTTTCCATATATAGCGAACCGGAGCATATAACCCCATATAACGATCTGAAGCAGGGAGCCTTCCGACCAAAAACAAGATTTTCAGATTGGCATGGATTACCGTGGTCTCCTAATAGGGGTATTTCCTTATAGGGCAAGGTAAGCCAGTGGGTCAGTCCGGAATTTAAAAATTCCAAACACAATCCGAAATAATCATGGGTATTAATCAAAAAAAGGCTTTATCGACATTTTTATGGTGCTCGCAATTGAGAATATTGGGATTAAAAAAAAAACGCTTAGACACTTCCCTCAATTATAATTTCGAAATCCCAAAGAATTAATCAACTTTTGGCTAAAGCCTTTAAAACATACCTCCGAAAAAACTCGCTCATATTCAAGCGGGAGCACTCCTCTGAGCAGAAGAGAGCGAACTGTATTTTTCTCTTTAACTCGAAGCAAAATTCGTTCGAAATCGAGGTATTTTATGACACTTATGAGGGAAGGAAGTATCAGAAGAAAGCTCATGTGTTCTCATCTGATTTCAACATTGAGCTTTATATGTCCCTCAATTTAACAAAATTACCTTCCATCCTTTTAATATCAACAAGATTTGCTTACCTCTCCCTAAAATTATGGGCATGTCGGGAATAAGTCCCACAATATGTTGTCTAATTCACTTATAAAATGTTTTGAATTTAATTCTGATGTCATTGCATGACGAGAAGCAAATTCTTCACTTCTATACTTTTATTTTTTGTTTTGCTTTTATGCGGTTTGAATTCCCTTGTTTATGGTTTATTAGTTATCTAGGAAAGTTTGACTTTTGTTGTTTAAGATTTGCTAGATATGCACTTCGTTTTTTTTTTTTTTTTGGTGCTCCCCTTTTACATGTTTACAATTTTCTTCAAAGTTAACCTCAGAAAAATATGCAGAGAGAATTGAGGTCGTTCTGTGTTCCCAAAGTAATGTAGGTACCAATTTTTTTTTTTTTTTTTTTGTGGCAAAATGCATTCCCTCTGTTTTTTGGAGAAAATTCAATTCCAACTTTATTTTGAAGAACATTTTTCCGTTATTCTCATGACGTTATATTGGTTATGGTTGTTGTTATGTCTCAAACAATTTTCAAAGTGTTCAAAACTCAATATTATTACACCTTAGGGTGGATAAGAATTTTGGAAAGGAATTTATAAGAAAGAATGTGAAAAGAATTAATTGCAGGGTGAGACAAAAGAAACTGCAACAAAGCAAAAAAATGTCGGAAATTGCGTTAAATTTTAGAATAAGTTTAGATTTGTTCGAATTGGTCACCTTTGCGTGCCCAAGACTTTAATACACCCTCCAGAATATATTTGGGATAATATTCGGCATTTATTCTGATGCCATGGTCGATTAATACGAACGGAGAGCGACCATCGGCTGTTATGGCGGCCCATGATGATGGTCATCAAGGTCGGCGCTTGAGTTCTGGTGACCAACCGAAGGTACACATTTTCAGCTGGCCTCTTTGGCAATAGAAAACAAAACTCGGCTTAGTTATCATGGCCCTAGAACCGAATATCTTAACATGCAGCACATTATCTCTGAGAACCTAAGTCCAATGTTTATTACCAGGAGTTGCCAGATAAAGTATGACAACTACCTATTAAAAATATTGAAAATATTATTTAATATTTAGAATATTATTAAATATTGAAAATCTAATATTATATCACTCCACCCTGTTATACATACATATATTATCTAATATATGCTGTCATAAATACATACATGCGAATGTCTATCTCCACAATGGCATGTAAAAGTTTTGTGGCCTGCTTTTTTGTGTTTTTTGGTCGAAAAGAAAGTATGATTTTTTTCCAGTTTGAAAAAAAAAACTTTCTTGGCAAAAACAAGATTTTAAGATTTTGTACTTCATCAAGTTTGTTTTTTGGTCTATTTGGAAATATTTTTGGCAGACGCCAAACTTGTGTGTTATAACCCGGAATGGTAAATGATTTGGAATTGAAATATTAACACTCAGTGTTCAAATAAAATTGTATTAAAAATAGTTAAACGTATTTCAGCCATATCACTTAGAAAATATTTCAAATTCTTTGAATAGCAACCGATGATTATCACTGATTTTCCCTTCCAGCTCAGCTTTGTCAAAGATTGGTGATGTTCGGGAGTCCTTTTTGGATGTCATACGAGATGCCTCTCTTATGTTGTTTTCCTTTTTAGATGGGCCGGCTTAGAAGTAGACTTTCCTATAATAGCCTTAGTGTTTATAATACTCCTTTTATCCTTGCCACCTGGTCCAACAGAAGCTACATATGAGAAAGATGGAGTGATCATTGCTTTCCTGGGAGAGCGCTGCGCCTCTTCCGTCGAGTAAACTCTCTTTACATACTGAGCCTGTGCAAGAGTGGGAGCTCTCAAAAACGAGGGTCCTTCAACCAACTGCTCTGTTTTGCCACAGCTATGCAGCGTGGATATTTGCGTCTCTTTTCAGCTAACGATTGTTAAACCTTAGGTTTCGCATTTGGCGCTGAACAGTAGGAAGGCTGCATTTACCTTTCTACAACCCCGACACCTTAGACGCAGACGGTTTACTCAGATAATTTTCCGACTTTGAGTTAGATTTAGGATCCGATTTCGTGCTGT